AGTGCGGGGAGAGTATGGAGGACACGCATACTTTCATACACAAACAGTTACAATCACCTCATAAACTGCTCTACCTTTAGCTGTGCATCTCTATTTTAGTCTCCACCAACCCATTGTGTAGTTTTTCAGGTATCTGACCATTAGCAGCTAGCTGCTAAAGTTAAGCTAGCTGCTAAAGTTGTCTGTTTGTGGCTGATATGTTGGACAGGTAACAGTGTGTTCATTAAAGATTATATTGCTGGAAACAGCTGCCCACTGAAGCTGAAAGCACAGCTGATTAAAGCAGTGGGAGGCTATTAAAGCTGTGGGCCATAAAACTGAAATACATTGCTAAAAGATGCTATAACACTGTGGGGAAATACAGGGATGAGATTAGCTGTAGGATTATCATTGTGAGCAAATTCTTTCACACTACACCAAGTCTTTTGTTAAACTTTCATCCACTTAATTATGCAGCTTTAACAGCCTTTTGTTATCAGTTTATCCCTGACTGCTGTCTGTTTCACAAGGCAGAATTTGGCAGTGATAAAGCCTATCACAGGAGCATGTTGCTGGTTACATTTTCCTAACAACAGTCATAATTTAGTATTTTATCAGTTTCAAATTTATTAAATACATTTTGGTTTATATTCAGTGCTTCCTGTTGTTTTCTGAATTTGAAACCTTTAACTGTGTGAATACTTTTTCGTGCAGCAAAACCTATAAAACAGGCTCGTGCATACGAGAGCATAGGCTAAGTAAGCTGTATTTTTAGATGTGTGATACTTGTCATTGAAAGCCAATAACATTTATAACCCATACGTGCAGTTTTTAGGGCAGTTATGATCCATTAATGGTTCCAGCTGAATCATTCATATCTGGCTTGCTAACACATACAATATAACCATCAGAATATGAATTATTTGGTGATGCTTTGAATTATGCATGGAGTTTGCTGTTGGGAGGTCAGGGGCGCCATGGTGATTCAAGTCCTTGTCTCTGCTAATGGCTCACTGGATAAAAGCACAGAAACAAGCATCATGCCTGAGCCATGCAGCATTTCATTGCTGTGTTTGAGTAAGCTCAGCTGAGGATGACTCAGAGGCTTGGAGAGGAGATCCAGGCCTGTTGTTGTGTTGTGAAGCCCTCTGTTGGTAAAGTAACCGCAGTGCATGAGCCAAGAGAGTATTTATCAAAAACGATTTTAACATAAAGTATATTAATACTTTATAATGTGATGATTTATGGTTGATTTGTGGACTACATTGTGGTTCATATTTTGGTTTTGAAAACAATAAAATAAAGTTCTTTCATAATGTCAAAGAATTAATTAATTAAAATTTCACACAAGCCTAACTTATAGTGCTCTTTGTCAGTGTTCCCTCAGGATCAGATCCCTCAAGTTCAATCACACCTCATGGCTGGTTCCGCAAGAAGCCTGTCCACCACCGTCTGCCGGGCACCCAGCGAAGCAACTACGACCTGCGGGAGCGGATCTGCATCGGTAGCATGACTGCCCTGGAGACTGCCGTCTATCAGCAGGTGCCCACTGATGAGGCTGAAGCCCAAATGTTGGTCAGCGCTGATCTGGATGACATGAAAAGTAAGAAAAATACTACGCTGTATTTTTAGGGAAGTTTATGTTCAACCCAGTATCACAGAAAAACATGTAATAGACACATGTTCCACTGTGTCCATTTCACGCTTTGCCTCTCCAAAGTGTGAAAAGCACATGAATGCAGAAGTTGCAGTAAGTTGCAGTGAGATGCAGTACCAGCAGAGGGAGATATTTTATTGAGAGCAACATGATTATAATTCAATTCAATTCAGTTTTATTTATATAGAGCCAAATCACAGCAACAGTTGCCGCAATGTGCTTGATTTATAACCGCAGGGAAGTATTTAAACAGCCATTACTCACACATTTACATGTACATATTTAGAAAAAAATATAGAATTGAGCTTGATCTAATAATGCTGTGAATAAATCGATTGGTGTGTTTAGTACTTTTCACTGGACAGCATCACAGACGGCGAGGCTCTGTGTCACTCTATTTTATTACCATTTCTCCCACATCATGTTGACGAAGGTGTAGAAACTCCTTTTAATAGAGTGGAGACATACAATGCAGTAATAGAGAGAAGGACTGGAGGGAGGCTTAGGGCAGGAAGATAAAACCCGGTGGAGAGGAAATTGGTAACAGCGTAGAGGGGTAAGGGAAGAGTGCTGGTGCTGAGGTAAGTCAGCCTGCAGGCTGCTGGAGCAGGAGCAGGAGGGAGGGGTTGGCAATGGCCATAACAATGAGAAAACGAGTGAGGAGGTAAGAGGAGATTTAGAGCAAATTGATGCAAAGACCTGTTGAAACCTGTGTGTGTTTGAAATGCTGGAATAACTGTCTGTTTTCAGGTAGCTATGGTATTGTTTTTATTATTAAATGCAAGTCAAATAGGGGTTTTTATGTGATTATTGGGGACAATACAAAAAAATAGCCTTTTAAATTCCTCACTGGTGTTGAGGAAAAGCTTTGGAGCAGGACAACGGTAGATGGTTGTCTCCATCTCTGAAAGCACCTTCTGAGATGACTCATTTTTTCTTATCACCCACGCCACAACAGTGATGTGTGTGGTGGTGGAGGAGGGAGGGGAGTCTTTGTGAGCTGCCTGTATTGTTATATATCAGCCAGGGACTATGTGTGTTAGTGTATTATTGATGTAAATGCCAAGTGAGTTAAAAATGAAGACCTTGACTCGCATCAGTGCTCTGATCTGATGGTACGTGGATGTGACTTCAGATTCTTGGCTGTGTGCACCTCGCAATAAAGGAAAGTCAATGTCAGTATGTATTATTCTTAACATAGAGCTGGATATGTTTCCCTTGATGTTATCTTGAGTGCTGTTGAAGACATAATAAAGCCTGCTGCTTTGACTACAGATTAAATGATTAAATAGAACCCTGTTTCCCTCTCATTAAGTGACTAATTATATCCAGAAATAACAGGACATTTTTGATGACATAATAATAATGTGTGTTGTGGGTTTGCTGCCCTCTGCTGGCTCTGAAAAGTACTTCCACTATGCTTACACATTGAAACATTCACGTTTTTCTTTATCTTTATATACATTATAGTATATATATATATATTCTTATATATATATTATAAGTTATATATATATATACTATATATATATATATATATTATATATTCAAAATTGATTTCAAGAACAAGAATATTAATGTATTAAAATCAGATTCAACAGTTCCTTTTATTTAAATATCTTTAAATTTCAAATTCTTACATTTAAAAGCACAGCATTGCACAGATTTAAAATACTTTAGTCCCAGATTTGTAGTATAATTGGACCTAACTAATGCTTTTGATGCAAAAAAAAAAAAAAAAAAATAGGAAAAAGTCTACTACAAAACTGTATTTTGTTTCAGCAGTGCTTCTTTTAACCTAGAGAGCCTGCAACATTTATTGACTCCACTTCTTCACTGAGGCCCAACATTGATGGGTTTTGCTGTTTTGGCTCCATCATGAACATCCCACACATCCGGTCTCATGAAACCAGCCCACACAGCCCCACGTATGCACTGTTAAAAATAAGCCTTCCAAAGCAGAGGATGGAGGAAGGAGGAATATAATATCGACTCATAATTTTTGCAAATGTAGGCTGTTCCTGTAATAAAGTCTTTGTATTTATTCAGTTATATGTCACTATGCTTTACATATATTGTATCCTTAACAGCAGTTGGCTTCATATTGTAATTTGTAGCACAGTTATGGAGCTACACTTATTTTTGCACTCCATACTTCATTTTGTTACGATTAGTCTTAATTGTGGGAGACTTTTTTTTTTACCACATGTTGCACAAAGCATCACTTTAGGAAGTGAAGGTCCATGCTTAAATGCTCAGAATTAACAGAAAGAAATTGTAAGTGATAATAAAAAAATAAATGCTAAAAGAGGATTTTTTTTTTTTTAAAAGCAAAAGCTTGTATGGCCACAGAAATACTCTCTCTCCGAGCATCAGGGGGCTTTAATTAACAGAAGCCTGCAGTCGATTCCCCTTCAACGCCGACCCTGCCCCTGGCTTTTCCTGCTTTCCCAGAGCAGAGCAATCATTGACTGTTTAGGGCCCCTCTAGAAACAGAAAAACAGGGCATTGGATTTGTAGGGAGTGATGCTTAGAACATGGAATGGCCATGTATATCATTAGTGTCTGCTCCCCTGTTACACTTTGGTAATTTGCCCTTCAAGTAGACAGACAGGTCTTAATCCGTGATGTGATTGGGACAAGTTTGCAACAAGTCATTTATTAAACCACGTGTAGATGGTGTAGAGTGAACACCTCAGCAGGTCATTCATAAAACACAGTTTTTTGGATGCAGACACAGTCGGTTTATTTCAACAATGACATGAGCAGCACAAATAAACAGGTACTCTGATAAGAGTATGTAATCTAATATAAAAAAGGACTGAAAAAGGACCATGAAAATCTGATAGCTCAGGTAGAGTGTGGGATTTATCAAGACAAGAATTGTTTTATTATAAATAAGTCTGCCTTATAACCCTGAAATCTGGTTAACAGATGTAGGGATATATAGAAGAAGAAGAACAAAACTTTATTTACTGTCAGATCAAATTGCATACTAACATCCTAAAAACTAAGTTAATGCTGATGTGCCACATGCATTAATGAGGGCACGGCTTACATTTTTCCTTGCATGCTGTGAGAAACTGCAGGTATTTATTAAAGTCAAAAGAAAGAATCAGACTCACAGGAACCTGTGAGGAACAACAATTATTCTATCATGTTTCAGTTGTATTTTGATATTTCAATATGTCACTTAGATACACAAAATACACAAAAGTTAATGTTTGATGATGGCGAGCTGTGTGTGTGCAGATTGGTAAGTAAAGGCACACCGAGGTTTTTCTCTTTGTATTATGGACCGAACTCTGCAAATAGACCATATGGCCTATATTAGACTACTGTGCTAATTGTTACATTGATGGCAGATGTAGTGTTACTTGAAAATAAAAGTATTAAGGGCCAAAATTATGAGGGGCTTCACTCTTTAAAATTCAGGGTGAGGACTTGGTGAAGAGCTACGAGAGAGCCAGAGCTTTGGCACCATGCTCACAGCTTTGAGCGAGCCACCCGCACCAATTACACGCTCATTCTGCTAACAACTCCCCCCTGGCATTCCAAATAAATTAACACTCCTAGCAGCAGCTATCACCGGCATTCTAGGCTCAGTGGAGTTAGAGCTTAGAGTTGGAGGGGTTTTTTTGGTTGTTTTTTGGTGTTAAATGGTGGCCTAACAGCAGTAAGATGCACACTGTAATCCTTAGTACCTGTGATTAATTAAATAACTAATTAATTTAATAGTACAAAAGTTTTGTGTTAGCATAGACCAACAGAAAATCTGGCCAAACACTAGTTGTGTTGACAGCTGTAAGGTAATAAAATCAACTTGAGGTATTCTTGACAGTATTCAACAGGATTCAAAAAGATACTTCTCAACCAAAATGGGAATATGACCTCAGTAATGTTAGTCTGCCTCTTTAAATATCATTATTTAAAGCTTAAAATATCACAATCTGTGCTTCCGATGTTTAAAAGCAATGTGACACTCTTTGACGTTAATATTCAGGTTGGGACGTTTATGGGCCAGCTGTTAAATATGGTGATTAATTAAATAATACTGGGACTTAAACTCCAAGATGAGGTAGAGGAAAAAGGGGGCATAAAAAAAGGAAGAGTATAATTGCAAATGACAAGCCTGTGGTTGCTGGCATTCGTCAGATCAGTGTTTTTTGCAGCAGCACATCATACAAAGCTCGAAGTGCTGCTGTTGGTCTTGTGAGACAGCAAAAAATGGATTCTCTAATGGAAAAACAATGTATGCTTGATGGAAATGTTACAGTGCGAAGTTCACCCACTAGACTCAGATTATTGTGCAAAGCATCGTTTGGTTTTAAAGAGAATTCGCAGTTTTGATCAGACAGATCCAATCTAGCAAAAAACCCGTGCATACACACAACACACTCATGCAGGCATTCGTATAAATGCAGAGTGAGTCACAAACCCAATGGACATGGTGAATGTCCTGTTCAGCTCACATTGGTGCACCTGGTTTGGCCAATGAGACCAGGGCATCTGGGGAGGATGCAATGGTTTCCATGGAGATGCAGGGACAGGAAAGGTGCAGCTTCCTCTAACAATTAACGCCGTTAAACAGTATATCCTCAACGCGGAGTGCAGAAGCGGGTATTCTGTTCTTCTCATCAGATAGGTTTAATTTCAGCTGGTGTATTGTTTGTTTCTCAGTATGTATTTCTGCATCTCTCTTTGTGCTGTGTATGTGTGCTTTTTCAGTTTAATTCAGTTTAGGTGGAGATCGCAACCTTTGGCCCTTCTATACATCACATGGTTTGAAAGTGATTGCGGTGCTATGGAAACAAAAGGCATCAACTCTTGATCTCTGATCCACTCTTTCATGCCTTGCCAGCAACCCCAATAATCAATAGCGTGTGGACATTGTTAGAAAAGGGTGGTGCCTCCATTCAGCTGACAGCTGATGGTCTGTAAAAGTAGACCATCCCTTATCAATAAGTGATTTTGGATTTGCAGCTAAAGTGGATGCCAAAATCTTTTATTTAGCTCTCTGATGGTGGATCTAACAGAAGGTTGCTGCCTCGGGTGCTGCTCCAGCTTTGCATTTGGACTTAAGGCAAAAAAGTGTATTTTTGTGACACTGAGGATCTGCACATGTGACTAACTTATATTTTTGGAGTGAAAGGAATATTGAATATTTTGATTGACAATCACACCGATTGTTTTTTTGTTCCACTTTGATGCATGCAACTTATTCTTCAAAAGTTGCTACTGTGACCACCAGCTGTTTTTTTTCTCTCGAGAGTCGGTTAGCTTGGACTTGGGTGCTATTGCACAACCAACGCAAAGAGGCAGTTGCATCCAGACTCTTCAGGTCAGTAGACCAGTGAGAGCAACGGCATTCAAGAGTTGGATGAGCAGGGTGTCCCCTTGGAGAGAGGTGGATAGGAGGAGGTACCGACCGTGGAGATGACAGACATTGAGGGACAGGAGAACCAAGGAACCAAGAAGCACCATGGACCAGAACGACGTTGCAGTACCCAGAAAGGCTTTGGAACCTCAAAGCAACACCAATTTGAACACCGCAGCTCATTTTCAATCGTGGATGGATTTGAGGATTTTGAAGAGTTTGTCTTGGATTTTGATGATTATGACTTGCTTGAGTCAATCCACAGCCAACTGGGGTCACCCCTCGAGCCTATCCGTAAGTTGGCCGTATTTTCCATGGAGGTTCACCACTCCTGTGTAGGATTTCATCTGTTTAAATGATTGATATTTGACAGCAGTGACAGTTACGTCATGCTTCCAAAACACATCAGGGAATTCACATGGGCAAGCATTTTATTCTATTTTTACATGATTAATCAATGGAAGGGAGCTCACTTGTTTCCATTGATCGTTTAGCCTGCTGCTAGCTTCATTATTGGCAGTAGAGGCTCATTCATGGCCACACACTGAACAGTGTTGTCCACGGTATTGACTGAATTGACACAGTGCTCGACTGCTGCTGTTTCCTACTCTTCCATTGATCCAGTGGCACCTATTTGGCTTTGGGCTCATCCACAGCTAGAGCGGAAAGACATTTCATTGACAAACCATGAGTGGTTCTGCTTTTTTAATCCCTCTGTTGGCTTTGAAACATGGCGTATTAGTGCTGTCATGGTGCTCCATCACATGGATGAGAAATTTTGTGATGAGCCTGAGTATAGGATATAAGTTAAAGTTAAAACCTTAATTAGAATAGAATAGAATAGAATTCAACTTTATTGTCATTGCACATGTCACAGGTATAAGGCAACGGATTGCAGTTTGCATCCATCCAGAAGTGCTTTAGCGCGCGGCTTCATCGGGTCAGTCTGAAAATTAAAAAGTAGGAATGAACTTACCAGGTTGCCCGATCTCCTCACTGATTTGTCTCCAAGCTAGGTCCTTTTTATTCCTGTCTCGGTAGAAATAATAGGTAGCATCATATAATTCTGGATGATTTGCCACAGCACTGATTAGTTTCTCCTCCATTTTGAATGCAGAATGAATGGCTTTGGCTGGATCTGCCCCTTTGAACTAGGTAACAGCCACGTCACCAGGCTCCTGATTGGTTGTCGCGGCGCGATTTTACGCTGGAGTTCAGATTTTTCCAACTCGAGCGGGGGAGGCGAAACGCGCGTATGCACAAAATGCAACACATTAACTCACGCGCGTGGATTTTTTCGCGAGTCAAACGCCTGAAACGCGCTACACTCACGCGCGTTTCTGGCGTTTTTGCGTTTTCGCGACGCCAAAACGCTTCCGAATTTTCGCGGGGGCCGCAATCGCGGGTCAGCGCGCCTTTCCATTGACTTTACATGTAAACCTGACGCTCCGCCTGCCTCTATCGCGTTCGGTGTGAACACACCGTTAGACCACCAGGTACCGGAACAGCTTCTTCCCCACAGCTGTCAGACTCCTGAACTCTGCTCCTGACATCTGACCCACGTTAACACATGGACTGGACATACACACACCCACAACCACCTACACACACACACACACACACACACACACACACACACACACACACACACACACACACACACACACACACACACACACACACACACACACACACACACAATGGACAACTGTACCCTCAACACACAATAATAACATGGACTGAACCACCACTCACAACCACTAGCACTTTATATAGCCTCTGTAGAAATTATCCACATATCTCACTTATCTTAACTGCACTACTGTATAATTCTGTGTAAATAATCATTCTGTACAATACGATAATTTTTAATTCTACAACTGTTTATAACCTGCATAGTTCACATTTCTGTATACTGTATATCTCATATTTCTGTATAGTTTTTCATATTTATATCCTGTTCATAGCTTGTACTCACTACAGCCTGTACATACTTATAGTTATAGATATTCATAACATACTTCATACGTGTACATTATAACATACCATAATAGACCCATTTCTGTAATATACTTACATATCTATATTATTGCTAATATATATTGTAATATATCTATATCATGG